CAAAGGCTACACATAAACTTTATATGTTGATGACTTGTTGAATAGGAAGGGTGTACAAGTCTTTTTTTTTTTTTTTTTTGCCTTCTATAAATCATCCAAGATTACCCCTGGTTAACAAAACCTTTGAGCCTTTCGGTACAACAAAACTGCAAACTAAAAAGGAGTAAAAAGGACTCAAGTGCTTTTTCCGTTGTGAAAAGATTATGCCCTGGTAATAATGTTTTGTCTGCCTTTTCATTTTGGTCTTGAAATTTTTTCGTTGAGCTTTTGTTGTCATTAACTTTTTTTTTCTTGGTCAAGTGTAGTGTTGTCATTAACTAATGCATTTACAAATTAAAGTGGCAAGCCCTACAGTAATGAAGGAGTATGGGTGCGTTTTTCTTTGGTACACCGAAACAAAAAGAAAACAATAGCCTCCACCCACGTATATAGGACGAGTACCCAATATGGCTTGACTCGTTCTTTCATGTTCACAGTCTCACCAGTTGAACACCCAATATGGATCATACTTAAGAGTGATAATAAAATGGATGGATTGATTTGATTAAATGAAATATGGGTTTGATTGAAAATACACCTTCTGAAGTTGCTAAGCGTACCCCCCCCCCTCCCACCCCAAAGCCTCTTTTTTACTTATTTCCAAAATCACCTTTTTTTTTGGAAAGTAAGTTTTTCAATCTTACAAAATTATTTCCAGGAATATGAATATGAGATGAGAATCTAACATTTTTCATATTTAATATGTTATATAAAAAAAACATTTTCGAACATTATTTATTCCTAAAAATAATATTATATAAGTTTTTCCCTCTTTCTATTTTCATGTGAAAAGGTTAAAGTTATTTCTAAAATTCCGAAATATAATTAAATTCGTGAAACAAACTCCCTCGACATAACACATGCCGAAAGTTGTTTCCAGAAGCAATTTTCAGTCTCATTCCTCACACAGTCACACTAGCGCACTACACGACTTGCACGCCATGTCAATGCCAATGAATAATTCTTAAGATGCAGGAAATTCAAAATCCAAGACATACATAGCATAATTTATTGCGCAAGGAAACAAAATCATGACACACTTGTATAACTTTGTTGTAATAAATTGCAAGAAATTGTTTTGCTAGGTACAGGCAAAACCAAATAAGAAACAATCCTAGTGTAGATAATTAAATAAGAAACAATCCTTACTTTAATTTTATTGATTGAATTTGGTTTTAATTCACTTTCTTAAGATAATATTAGAGTCTATATTATCCATTATTAATTGTTTGTTGGCCTTATCAATTATCAAATTATCCACAGATGCCAATATTAAGTGTAATATTTATGCAAGTGACAATAATATATTACTAAATGTCAATATTTGTCTAAAATATTTAGTATCATATTTGATATTCAATATAATATTTAAATATTATTGTTAATTAAGTGAAAATTTACAAAGTCAAACACATCGAATAAAAACTTCCAACATATCATTAAATTAAATGAGATTTAATTAATAAAATAATTAGTTAACAATAGATTTAATTAAATTGTACAAACGAACCAAATTAGGTTAAACAATAGTTAATAAATAATACGTTAACCTATCTTTGCTAATTCCATAAAAATTAAGATTTTGTGCAATAAAATACTCTTATCTTCTTTGTGGCTCCAATGTTGCCCCATAAGCCCACCGTTCTTTGAATGTTTGGTAATCCAAGATAAATAGTCGTCAATGCAAACAAAAAATTATTTAATAAAAATTCTTAAATTACTCTCCAAAAATAAAATCTTAAATTCTTAATGTAATTCTTGATAAAAGAAGATGTTTTGCAATTTACTACATCAAATCTAAAAGAAACTGTTTTGCAATTTTACCACATAAAATCCCCCAACATATTCATTCATGTTTTAGTTTTGTGTGCGCGTGAATCATTCTTAGATAAATTGTGCAAGATTGTATGCAGTTAAAAAGAAGAGAAAACCCAACTAGATTCCCTTATATGAACCTTTTTGTGTACACCAAGTTTAGTAATTTTACATTACAAAATATTTCAATTATGTTTCCAAAATTGTTCGTATACATTCTAAAGAAGAGTAGAAGACATGGAAATCCTTCAATTTACCCTGTGCAAACTGCACTTGGACTTATACTAAGTAGAGTAACTATATCTTTACAACACTGGGTAAATGAGTGGAAGAAAAAGAGAAGAGATAAAATAAAGAAAAAGAAAACAAATTGATATATATATGATAATCGATATACTACAAAATAAAAATTTTAAAAAAATAGAATATATATATAATTTTCCTATTGAGTACAAGAATGAGCAAAATTATGGACAAAATATATGTTACTGCGATTTTCTACTAGCAGTAATTTGACAGAGGACTACTTTAATATTCAATATTTTCTACAAATAATTTCTATGTTAATTTCATAATTTTATCTGTTACACAATCTTAATTTTTATTTGTGTCAATTCTTATTGTTATGAAATGATTTAAGCATATGTGCTGTATAATTTAATTTTAAATTAAAAAATATAATTTAATTTCAAATTATATATTTACTACTCACCTAACTACTCTAACAAATCGTACACAATTCAGTCCGAAACTACATTTTTCATGAGCAAGTTCAGCAACTAAGGTAAAAGAAAATATTACCACTACGATAAGTACTAATGAGGTATTAAACATAAACAGCAGAAAGATTCGGTGGATTGAGCATGTCATGTGAATTCACTATTGAGTACCGGAAGGGTCCTATCGGCCACGTGGATCGGCCACGTGGACCGACATATCATGTCTTATCAGATATTGATACAGCTTGAACACTACCTCGGCTCGGTAAGGGGTCGAGGACTCGGAGAATACTCGTTCTCCTATCGGCTGGCCGTAGACTGAGAGGCCGTCTCAGTCACTCCTTATCGGCTCGGCCAAGGACCAACAGAAGATAGTTACGACGATAATCTTGGTTAACAAGGGACGACACGTAATTAAGGCATAATCAGCCGATTAACATCGTATTACCTAATTTGGTTAAGTGTCAGAGAAGACCCACCATGCTCAGGCCCATGACAGGTACTATAAATAAGTCACACGAAACGAGGTATGTCACTGTTTATTTATTACCCTAGAGAATCGTGTTTGTTCTGATTTGAGCGTCGGAGTGCCTTTTGCAGGTACCTCCCCCCTCTGAAGCATCAACCCGAAGCTTTCGTTCGACCCTCCAGTTACTAGAAGATTACGAGTGTATCCTCGTACAGGTACAAACATTAAAAAATAATTAAAAAAAAATAGAAGAACTTTAACATTAAAAAAAAAAAAGGTAAATCGGGGTCAGATTACGCAACCTACCTGTTAAATGTATTTTGCTGGTAGAGGATTGCTATATCTCCAAAAACATTTAAAAATTTGACACCATTTAATAAGTATATCATAAAATAATTATTTAATTCGATATTTTATAATTTAAATAATTTTTTAATGATTCGAAACGGCTTTTTGGAGTGTTATTTTGTACGAAATAACATTTCTCTTCGCTGTTAACATCGCAACTATGAAGAAAAGGGGGAGATCATCATTCATCAGCGGAGTAGTGACGCCGTAGAAACTTCTCAGGGTGTGTTTGTATCTACGTTAAAACGTGATTTTTCACGTTTAACTGGAAGAAAAAAATTGTAACTTCTCCGTAAATTGATAATTAGACGTGGAAAGAGATGAAGAATTTGAGTTTCAAAATTGAAACCAAACACGCACTCAATCCCACCAACAAGTTCAAGTGTTCAACACCTCTCAAACCCTAAACTGATTTAAATTTAAAAAAAAAAATCAGTCTTCAACTAAAAAAAATATTTTAGTACAAAAAAAATCTCATTCCTATCACCACCCTCTACATCTATGTAAGATACGATTTGCGAGTTTAGTTGAAAAATTAGTTTTAAAATCTGTAAATAAATTTAATACATTAAAAGTATTTGATTAAATTAATTGTTGAAATATTTGATAATAATAAAATGGCATAAAATATATTTTTAATTTTTATAAAAAATTAATTAATTATAACTTTGGACTCTTATTGATTTCTTTAAAGATAAAATATTTTATTAAAAATATTAAAGAATGTATAACATAAAAATGGTTGGAAAAAAGTATATTAAAATAATAATTTAAATATTTTTTAGTCCCTCAAATTTATGATAAATTTATTTTTATCTCTCAAATTTAAAATTATTATTTTTAATTTTATAATTTTAAAAAAATTTATTTTAATCCTTATATTTAAATTTTGTTAAAATATTTATTAAACATTATTACATAAAATCTATCTAATAATGTCTTTGTTAATGAAAATATCATATTAAATATAATTGATATTACATAATTGTCTTAATTTATTACTTTCAAATATGTTATTGATGATGAAGGACTAAAATAAAATTTTTAAAAATTATAGTAACTAAAATCAATAGTCTTAAATTTGAGAGAATAAAAACAAATTTTTCTTAAATTTAAAAGACTAAAAATATATTTAAATTTTAAAATAATAAATTAAAAGTTAGTGATATACTCTCGTTTGTTAATCACTTTCATTTGATCAAACGAATATATAAAATGGTAAAATAAAGTAAAAACCATCAATTTAACGTACTCGTGGAACACTGGGTTTACATATAATGAACCGGGACACTGTACGTTGAGTCTTGACTCTTGAGACACACAAACATTGAAAAAAGTTAAGGACGTGAATGCAGTTTTCCCCGTACGAGACTAGCCAGAAGGAAAGCAGATTACGTACTTATTCCAGTTCAAAATCCCATCTAAATTAGAATTTAAAAAATCACATAGCTAGTACCACGATAAAAATTAAAATCACATTACAACTCTATTAATTCTGGGGACTTAACTGTAGAAAACAAAAAGCCCACTTACGAATTCTCAAAAATTTTAGAGATTTAATTAAAATTTGTCAAAAAGTTCATGACATGTGAAGGTGTTAAACCAAAAAATTACAGAGGCAGAAGAAAAAGTATCTAATTTACCCGTCAAACACATGGAGTTTACGAACAATGAACCAGCTAGTGAGCTAGTCCACCATTGAGACACAACGGTGTGAAAGTAAAGTATACCTAAGACGTGAATGCGGTTTTTTTCCTCGTTACTAGCCAGAAAGAAACCAAGATTATGATTTACATTGTTTTTTGAAAATAGCATGGAAACGACTACAGCTAGCGTGGCTGAAAAATACTGGCCCATGTTGCCTTAAGCAAAACAGCCCTCTCCAAAAAGCGGCATAACGAAAATTACAGAGGTGGAGCAAAAGAAGAAGAAAAAATCCACGAGCTTAAGCTAGGTATATGAACATATATATGTATATATAATAAGGTAAGAAAGGGCATGGGCATGGGCATAGCCGCATAGGGCATAGACGTTTGAATTGGAAGGACTACAAGGCAAGTAGGGTTTGGGGTTTGGATGGCACACCCACACCACACTTTTCCTTTCTCTCGTCCTGCTTCATCTGCTTCTCACGGCATTCTGAGCTACAGAAAGCACTATCACCTCTGCAATGAATCAAAATCAACAACATGGACACCCAAAGTCTGAATGAAATTCAGAGAAGGGAGAAACTAATTCACCTGTACATGTAGATGTCACGGCCCGCTACCAAACGCCCTTTGCAGAGAAAGCAAGCCCGCAAGAAGTCAGGCGGGTGTGTGTGCGCCAAATCTCTCTGCTTTCTAGGTGAAACCGTGGCCCAAACCCTGCTCTGGTCTAAACCATCAGGAGGGTGTTGCGACCATGGGCCTGGGCTTGGGCCTGGGCCATCTGCTCCCACGGCGGGGTTGTTGAGATCGAAGGTTATGTCTGACATGCTGGTGGTTCTCTTGACTTGAGGAGGAGGAGGTCTCTTCCCTAGCATCATTACTGTGACAGGGTTACAAAACAGCTAAGCTTAGGGGAGATAGATAAATAAAACAAGAACCTAAAATCGAGGAGTGGATCTGAGCCCTTGATTTCATTATGAAATGAAATCTGGTGATTAGGGGTGGGCAAAACGAATTGAACTGAACTTATAAAAACTATACTGAACTTAAAAGTAGTTCATATGAACTGAACTAAACTAAATATTAGTTCAGACGAACTGAACTAAACTATTCTTTTGTGTCATTGAACTGAACTGAACTATACTATAAAAACTTGAACTGAACTACAATTTAAACTGCACTAAACTGTTATGATATTTTGAATTGAACAATTTTGACTCATTGATCTATCAAAATAGGACACATTTGCCAACTTTACTTTATTTTCCATTTTATTTAAATTTTTCAAAGGAAAAAAATATAAAATTAAGTCAAACAAACTCAATGAATTTTAAGTCTAAAAATAAGTAGTTCAACATAACTCAATTAATCCGTTAAGTTCGACAAAATTGATACAAATTTTTTTCAGATCACTTTTTTTCTAAAGTTTTGGTTATTAGACTATCGAGCTAATCCATTAAGACATAACATGTTAAACACATTTAATTTTTATTCTTTTATAAAAATAGTTCAATTTTTATAATTCAGTTCAGTTTTTATAGTTCAGTACAGTTCAACTTTACAACAGTTCAGTTCAGTTCAGTTTTTTTTTTAAACAGTTCAGTTCAGTTTTTTTACAAATAGTTCAGTTTTTATGGTACAGTTCACTACCAGTTCAGTTCATCAGTTCAGTTTAGTTTTTTTTGTCCACCCCTACTGGTGATAGAGTTGAAAGGCCCAAACGTACAATAAGAAGCCCATTAAAATTCAAAGATTATATGACTTAGAGAATTGGGCTTTTAAATAGGCCAGGTGTTGAGTTAGCATTTTAAATTCTGTTATATTGTTGTTTTTCCCTAAATCTGTGCTCTACACGTGTAGGCACCTAAACCATTAGGTCTTTCTTTTATAGTAGCTGTATTGGAATTCTGAAGGCAATGAATGAATATCTTTCTTAGCAATAACCTAGTGTAGAATCGTTTCTTCTAGCAATCCTCTATTATCTGGCGTCAACCTTTCCTTTTCAGTTACCATCACTCTTAATTTTATTGTTTTTTAAATGCCATTTGGAATCGGAACTTGGGATACTTCCGCAACCACATCTTTCAAATGTCTCTTATGCTCTGCTTTCTTCCCACAATTACCATCCAATCTCCTCCTCCTAAATCAAACTCTTCTTTTACCTTTAAATCTGCTCCATCAGATCCACCCTAACGTGTCAAACCAAAATTAAACATAAATTTGTCAAAATATTAAACATAAAATTTAAATCTTAAACTTTAACCATAACACTTACACCCAAAAAAAACACTTAATTACTAAATTAATATCATTTTTTAAATGCATAAATATAAATTATATAAACTATTAAAAATTAGAATTGCATGTAAAAAATTAAAAAGGAAATATCTAGTTTCTCTAATAGTAATTTGGTAAATTTGCTTTATTCAATACATTAAATTTCAATGTAACTATTAAATTAAAGTTCTTATTAAATAGATTAAGTTTATAAATTTTTACAAAAATTAAAAATTATTTTATATTTTATTGTATTAATTTAAATTAATATATATTTTATAAAAAAAATTGTATATTATTTATATTAATAATATAATTGATAAATTAAGTGTAAAAATATTATTATGTTGATATATTATAATGCATTATTACTGCTATTTTAGTTCATGAAATTTACAAGCTAAATATATATTGTACATAAGTAGAATTTATAAAAATTACATATGATAAAAAAATATAACTTAGGTCGTCAGTAAAGCAACACTACAACGTTTATACAGAGGTAGCATCAAGCTACACTACCATCTAACTTGGCTCTCAACTCTCCAAACTCCTTCAATCTATCCTTCTACTGTTCTTAGGGATGTTAAAAATATCTGTATTCACGGTTGTTCACAAATAAAATATGTAACGAAAAGAAAATGAATATTGTAAATGAGTACCGTGTAACAGATATATTTTTTATACCTCCATGTTAACGGGAGATACGAGTATCATAATATTCGTATCCACAGCTACCCATACCCACTAATATTCAATTTATTTAGACTTGTATAAATTTGATTTTATTTTGACTTATAATAATTAAGTAAATTATTATGTTTTTTTATCTTTTATTTTGATTCACAAGTAATCAAAATATTTTATTTTAATAATCATTATTTGAACTTAAAACTTTAATGATTGGATGTTTAAATTTTAATTATTAAATCTAATTATTTGTTATTAGTATAATTGTGAATAATATTTAAATTTTAATTTAATAATCTTGAAACTTTTTTATATAGATTTTACTATTCAAAGGTGATAGTTCTCTCATCAAAGTGAAATTGTAGTTAGTTTAGGGTTTAGGGTTTAGGATTTAGAGTTTAGAGTTTAGGGTTTTGAGTCTTAAGTTAATTTAATAAAAATGTAAAAAAATAAATATTTTTAAAAAATAAAAATAATAATAATGTATCAAATATAGAGATCAAGATAATTATTAAAAGAGTTATCTTTATATATATATATATATATATAT